TAATATTTAAAACTGAGAGATTGGATGACACCAGGGGAATGGGCATATATAGAGGTGAGGAGTGACCCAAGAGCAGAGACCCTGGGGTGATCCAAAATTAAAAGGTCTCTGAAGGCATGCCAGGGAGAGGAAGGGGAATTAGGCAAGCAGAAACCAGATGAAAGAGTGTCTCCTAAGGAGAAAGGAGTGATCAGCCGTGTCAAATGCTTCTTGTAGACTAAGGTGAGAACTGAGAAATGTCCATTGGATTTGGCAACATGGATGTCTTTTGTACATTTAATCCTCACAAGAACCCTATGAGGTAGATAGTGCTATTGTCCCCAATTTACTAAATTAAAAAAAAAAAGTTTTACAGTCACTATGTCCAAGGTAAAACAGATCTGACTATGGAAACCATATCTGTCAGATGCTTCAACTACTATTCTTGCTTTTTTTCCCTTTTAACGTTTACTTTGCAGTGTGTGGATTTTTTTTTTTTTTTTCAGTTGCAGCCTGTGGAATCTTTAATTGCATCATGTGGGGTTTAGTCCACTGACCAGGGTCTAATCTAGCCGCTTCACTGGGAGTGTGGAGTCCCTGTACTTGCTTTTTATATCAAGTAGACTTTTGTAGACATTTTAATTATGGAAAAAAATTGAGTTAATATAACAAAGATATTCTTATTCACTCAAAATTAATAGATTTTAATATTTTATAAGGTTTTATTGGCATACATTTTTAATAAAATAAATATAGGTTAATTCATTCAGAAAATTAATTGAACCTCTTCTGTCAGGGATTTGTTCTGGGCATTGGAGTAAATATATGAAGAACACAAATATTCCTGCCCTCAGTCAAGGTAAAACAGATAACAAACAATAATTATATGTTAGAAGATGAGAAGTGGTACGAGGATAAAGTAAAATATATAACAGAAAGGGAAGCTAGGAGTGTGGGGCTGGGAGGTGGAGAGAGTTACACTTGCTAATGGTGTGGCCCAAGTAGACCCTGCTGCAAAAGTGATGTAAGAAAACTTTTCAGACAGATGGAGTCACCAGTTCCAAAGACCTAAGACATGAAGTCCTCTTTGTCTCTTCCCCAGTCCATTCTCCTTTGCTCCCCAGAAGCAGTCAGTACTCTGAGTTTCATATGTATCTTTCCAGTCTTCATTTTTATACTTTTAGTACATACATTTATGTCCATAAATATGAGTATCTGTTCTTGACTTGTATAATGTCATTCCATACTTGCTGTGTTTCATTCAAATTATCATGAGCAAAATGTGTAAGTTTAGTTCCTTCATTTTAACAGCTATTTAATATTCTATAAAAATGCCACAATTTATTATGTTTCTGTTATAATCAGTGTCACATCAAATATCTTTATGTATATTTCCTTAGGCATAGCGAGAGTTTAAGGTTTATAAAGTTATTCATTTTCAGTTTTATTGGGTATTGCTAAATTGACTACTCACATCAACAGCATATTTAAAAGTAAAATTTCTTCGTGTCCTCAAAAACCCTTAATATTGTTAATCTTTTATTTTCACCAAAGTAATGGAGTGAATTACTGTTTTATATTAATTTCTCAGCTTAATGATGTGATTGAGCTCCTTTTCAAATGTTTACTGGCCATTCAGCTTTCCTCGTCTGTAAATTGCCTGCTCAAGTTAGTTTATTTATTGGCTGTTGTTTTTCCCCCTCCAAAGACTTTATTTAAGATCAGTTTTAGCTTCATAGCAAAATTGAGAGAAGGGTGCATTTACTTACGTCCTCTGGCCCCATGTGTGTGGCCTTCCCCATTAAAACCATATGCCACCAGAGTCATACATTTGCTACAGCTGATGTACCTATATTAATGACATCATTATCAGTCAGAGTCCATGGTTCATTCTTGGTGTTGTGCATTCTGTGGGTTTGGACAAATACTGAATGACATCTATCCACTGTTATAGTATCATAAGGCATTTTCACTGACCTAAACATCCTCTGTGTTCTACCTATTCATTTATCCTCCCTTGCCCCACAGTTCCTGGCACCACTCCCTTTTTACTAATATCTCCATTATTTTACTTTTTCTAGAATGTCATATACTTGGAATCATACAGTTGTAGTCTTTTCAGACTGGTTTTTTTCACTTAAATAATATGCATTTGAAATATCTCCATGTCTTCATGGCTTGATAGGTCATTTCTTTTTCGGGCTGAATAATATTCTAGGGTCTGGATGTACCACAGTTTATTTATCTATTACCTACTGAAAGATATCTTGGTTGCTTCCCAGTTTTCACAGGGTATTGATAGAGGTGCTATAGACATCCGTGTGCAGATTTTTGTGTTGACATTAAGTTTTCAACTCCTTTAGGTAAAGAGATACCAAGGAGTGTGATTGTTGGATTGTATGGTGGGAGTATGTTTAGTTTTCAAGAAATACCAGATTGTCATCCAAAGTTGCTGTGCTATTTTTTTTCCTCCAGCAATAAATGAGAGTTCTTACTTGACATCCTCGCCAGCATTTGATTTTGTTGATTATTGGGATTTTGGCAATTCTAAAAGTGTAGGGTATTTCATTGTTTTAATTTCCACCTCCCTGATGACATATGATGTATATTTGCCATCTTTTTTTTAAATTTATTTTTAATTAGAGGATAACTGCTTTACAATGTTGTGTTGGTTTCTGCCGTATAACAACATGAATCACCCTTAAGTAAACATATTTCCCCTCCCTCTTGAGCTTTCCTCCCACCCCCAAACCCCTATGTATCTTCTTTATATATATATATATATATATATAATTTTATTTAGTTAGCTATTTTTGGCTGTGCTGGGTCTCATCATGGAGCACAGGCTCTAGTCACACGGGCTTCAGTAGTTGGCAGCACAGGGACTCAGTAGTTGTGGCTCTTGGGTTTGGAGCGCAGGCTTAGTAGTTGGGGCCCAGGGCTTAGTTGCCCCGTGGCACATGGAATCCTCTCGGACCAGGGATCAAGCCCGTGTCCCCTGCACTGGCAGGCCGATTCTCCTTTCACTGCGCCACCAGGGAAGTCCCGCTACAGGTCTGTTAATGAAGTGTCTCTTGAGGTCTTGGACCCATTTTTTAATTGGGCATTTTGTTTTCTCATTGTTAAGTTTTAATATTTCTTTGATATTTTGAATAACAATCCTTTATCAGATATTTTTGGCTGCTTTTTATCAGCTTATATCATTTTTTTAATTTAGAGTGATCCTTCTAAATGTTTTCTGAGAAATAAGATGACAACAATGTATTTTATTGTCATCAACTGCTAAGTGATATATTTTACTTCTAATTTTTTGAAACTTTTCTTGAATAAAGATACCTAGTCTTAAAATTTATCAAGTCAATTCTGACTTCTGAAAATTATGGATTATGACATTCCTTAATTGCCTGCTGCCAACCTAGCAAAAGCTGAATTAAAATCAGAAATTGTTTACCTTGTCAGGTTTTTTTTTTTTTTTAATTTATTTTTATTAGTTGGAGGCTAATTACTTTACATCATTGCAGTGGTTTTTGTCATACATTGAAATGAATTAGCCATGGATTTACATGTATTCCCCATCCCGGTCCCCCCTCCCACCTCCCTCTCCACCCAATCCCTCTGGGTCTTCCCAGTGCACCAGGCCCGAGCACTTGTCTCATGCACCCAACCTGGGCTGGTGAACTGTTTCACCCTAGATAATATACGTGTTTCGATGCTGTTCTCTTGAAACATCCCACCCTCGCCTTCTCCCAGAGTCCACAAGTCTGTTCTATACATCGGAGTCTCTTTTTCTGTTTTGCACATAGGGTTATCGTTACCATCTTTCTAAATTCCATATATATGTGTTAGTATACTGTAATGGTCTTTATCTTTCTGGCTTACTTCGCTCTGTATAATGGGCTCCAGTTTCATCCATCTCATTAGAACTGATTCAAATGAATTCTTTTTAATGGCTGAGTAATATTCCATGGTGTATATGTACCACAGCTTCCTCATCCATTCGTCTGCTGATGGGCATCTAGGTTGCTTCCATGTCCTGGCTATTATAAACAGTGCTGCGATGAACATTGGGGTGCACGTGTCTCTTTCAGATCTGGTTTCCTTGGTGTGTATGCCCAGAAGTGGGATTGCTGGGTCATATGGCAGTTCTATTTCCAGCTTTTTAAGAAATCTCCACACTGTTTTCCATAGTGGCTGTACTAGTTTGCATTCCCACCAACAGTGTAAGAGGGTTCCCTTTTCTCCACACCCTCTCCAGCATTTATTGCTTGTAGACTTTTGGATAGCAGCCATTCTGACTGGTGTGTAATGGTACCTCATTGTGGTTTTGATTTGCATTTCTCTGATAATGAGTGATGTTGAGCATCTTTTCATGTGTTTGTTAGCCATCTGTATGTCTTCCTTGGAGAAATGTCTGTTCAGTTCTTTGGCCCATTTTTTGATTGGGTCATTTATTTTTCTGGAGTTGAGCTGGAGGAGTTGCTTGTATATTTTTGAGATTAACCCTTTGTCTGTTGCTTCGTTTGCTATTATTTTCTCCCAATCTGAGGGCTGTCTTTTCACCTTGCTTATAGTTTCCTTTGTTGTGCAAAAGCTTTTAAGTTTCATTAGGTCCCATTTGTTTATTTTTGCTTTTATTTCTAAAATTCTGGGATGTGGGTCATAGTACCTTGTCAGTTTTAATAAAACATTTGATTAGGGAAAAACAAAAGATACGGTTACAGGGAGGCATGGTATGTGTTCGTGTGTTTTAGTAAACCATTCAGTTTACTTCCTCATATTGTTCCTATATCCCCATCTTGTTTAACAGTGGTATTGTTATAAATATATAAATGTGAGGCTAGAACACTTCCTTCTGAATATCAAGCCATAGTACTATACTGTTGATTCTTTTCCATCAAATATAACAAGGATTAAAAAAGTGTCCTTTAACACATGATATCATAAAACTGAGTTTATCTGAAAATAGAAAGTTTATGTATTTAACTGTAACAATCTTCTGGTAAATTTTACCTGTCTTTCAGATTAACAAATAGAAATATTATACATAAACCTGCAGAGTGGACCTTAATTGCTTTGGTGTTGCTGTCAATGTAAGTACTCCTTTAGATTTTTAATTCTAAATACTAAATATGAAGAATTTGACTAGGGAAAAACAGGGTTAATTCATTAGTTTTCTAAACTTCTTTGGAGAATATACCTTTATTTTGCACCAATTTTCCTTATAATAGAATAATTTTCATGTAAAGTGATATGCTGTATTTTGATAAGCTGTTGTCATTCTCTTTATATGTTTTACTATCTTTTCTTCTCAGGGCATTTTTTTTCTCAAATATTATTTGTAATCACTTGAAAGAAAAAAACACCTCCATGTGGGATATAACACAGGCTAGTCTGTTAATTTCATTTTTAACAGTGCATTTATTTTATTAATGTTAAATGGCCTCATTATTTTACATCTATATTTTTACCAATATAGCTAATGCTATTTTATTTTTCATCAGCATTCTTATTAATATCAGAAAAATTTTGTTTTCAAAATTAATGTAAAATCAAACAGATTTAAAGGAACTAAAGTAGATACTACACAAGCATATATAAAACATTTAATACTCGTTCACCTTTTAAGAAATCACTAGTGGTTTCTAAGGCTGTCTTTCAATAGAGTTAAAACCATCTAGTAAGTGTAGTGTTTTTCAGCTTGAATTGCAAAAGTCTTTCTTTTGAAGACCATTCATTACTGCATTACTGTTATTACTTGGTGCTTGTTAGGTCATTGAAGCCCATAGGAAATTGAATACTTACTGGACACTCACAGGTCAAGAAGTGTTATGAGTCAACCTCATAGCATCTCCAGCCCTACTTTTGTTTCTTTGATATTACTTCAGTCTGACACATTATTCTGGCTTCACTGTCCCAAGGAAGGCTGTGCTGGGAGGCATTAGAGTAGGCTTCACTGAGCCAGCATCTGTGTCGCCCAACGAGATACAACTCATATGATTCATTAAATCAGAACACAGAAAATAACTTTACTTGAATGCCCTGACATAAATTTTTTATCAACCATAAGAACAAATCTTTTGTCATTTTTACTATTCAATGTTCCAGTTGAATTGGTAATTTATGAAACAGATCTTATTAATTTTTTAGAAAGTTCTTTCCATTTTATGAAATTTGTAAATATTTTGCTCACTGGCAAAAAAAAAAATCAGTATCTCTGCTCACCCACCATATCCTATGCCTGCTAATAAACCCTCATAGATAACTGTTTAACTGTACTTCTGCAATTCATTACACTAAAGGGGAAGTAACTTTTTTGTTTGACAAGTCAGAGGCCCAAGGCTTAGAAGTAATCTCAGAATCTTGCTTTCTAAGCTGGTGACTGGAAGTATTATCTTAATGAGCAGCTGCTTACTGAGGATGCACGTTAGGTCCTACTTCTTTTTGTATCAAACTCTTGCCACATCTTCTCCAAAATGTATAACAAGGAACAAAAAATAGTATGGAAAATGAAATTTTAAAGCTACCATCGAAACTTCATATGATTATTTCATATAAAAGTAATTTTATTTTAATAGAAGCACCCATGTGGCCCAAAACACTGAAAGCTTTGCTAGTTCTTTTATGTATTAATACTATTTGTCTTCTCTCACTTTGGATTTAGTGTAGGGATTTCAAGGGTCAGTGACCCATGAAAACAGTAATTTAATTGAAGAAAAACTGTGCACATTTTAGGTGTATTGCATATTTCACATTATGTAATCTAGCTTAAGGTTGTAGCAGTAAACACTGTTTCGTCATTCACCTTGAATTCTTTTTCATTATTCCCCAAGCCCTACAGTTAGTTAGATCTACCCATCTTTCTCTAGTCTTTGGTACTTTTGAGCCCTTGACAACTAAAAACCTTTCCAGGTAGGGCCCTTTTGACTTCTTTTAAAATCTTTAGTCACTTGTAGACATGAAGTTAGCTGGTACTTCTTTGTTTTTGCCTTTCAAATCTTGTTTCCTGATAATTTTCTCATAACTTTTGCTATAGGCCCTCTTGAACATTCTTTATCTTCCCTAACTGAATCTCCTTTCTCCTTATTTTTTCATCATTTGTTCTCTTAAGACTTCTGTCCCCATACTATTTTATTTCTTACTTCCTCATTTCTCAGCAAATTCCCTTTAGCTTTTCATATTTCTCCCCGCTAGGGAATCTATGGCTCAGTTGATAGCCCTTTTCCTTCTTAGCCTGTCATCATCATTTTACAGTAAATATTACCATATGAGATGGGAGTAGAATGAAAATACATATCCATCATATTAAAACTCATCCCACTGGTTTCTGTAAAGTGTAACTATACTTTATATTTGTACTCTTCTTTCCTCCCACTTCCAGTTCACACTTTTTTTATACTTAGAATTTTATTTATTATTGGCTGTGCTGGGTATTTTTTGCAGCAGGCTTTTCTCTAGTTGTTGCAAACGGGCTACTCTCTAGTTGCAGTGTGTAGACTTTTCATTGCGGTGGCTTCTCTTGTTGCCAAGTACAGGCTTAGTAGTTGGGACACTTGGGCTTAGTTGCTCTGTGGCATATGGGATCTTCTGGATCAGGAATTGAACCCACGTCTCCTGCATTGGCAGGCGGATTGCTTACCACTGAGTCACCAGGGAAGCCCCACAGTTACTTTTTTGGGAAGACATTATTGTCATTGGGGAAAGAAAAAGCAGGTGTGAAGGCTAGCATTAGATAAACAACCTTAAATCCAGGTAAAATATGGAGACTTCACACATTCCAAGAGGCATGTACGTATAAAAAGAAAGAATGTAAACACATATTTGTAAAATAGTAACTCATCATTCAGTCTATTAATTTATTGCCACTAAGACTGAGCATAGGCATACATGGGATTTACCCTTTTTTCATTTAATTATCCTATGATTCAGAAAATCTTTGCATCTACTCTCAAACTGCCAATGGGATTTTTAAAGTCATTGTAGACATTTCTGAAATTCATATTAAGAAGTGAACTTCCTTTAAGTCTTAATAGCTAGGAAGGAGGTCCTGAATGGTAGTTGTAGACACTGAAGATGAATATAGTAAGATAATATGTTTAGTATTATTATAACAGTGGTACTATTCTTTGTGAATATTGCAAATTTTTACTATTTTTAGTGTTAGTTTAATGCATGAAAGCTGTTTTCAAAATTCCTTATGAGAAGCACTTAGAAAAGGATACCTATACACATGTAATTAGGAAAGTAAATGGCTCAAATCTAACTCATGTTAGAAGGGAAAAAACATTTTAAGCAAAACATGATAGTCCAGACAAGAAAGCTGGGTCCTGAATTTTCACATCTGTTTTCTTAAGAATAAATAAGGCGTGTCTGTAGCAAACCATCTTTTCCTGGTAACTTCCCTTGAACTTTCACAGACATTAACACTTTAAAAATTTGAATCACAGTGTGTACTTTATCAGTGTGCACTGGTGGGAATTTTATACCCATATAATCTCAAAGAAACTGATGAAATCAAAGTGATATTCTTGATCAGTTGATACTCTGTTCACTTAGATTTCTCACTCACTACATAGTGAGGAGTGGAATGGCCAGCGTGACTGCAGCATTTATTGATATGCACACTCTGTATTCAAACCTAAGCCATTACCAGAAGCGCACTGAAACCCTGTAAAGCTTGAGCAGTGTGCCTCTATTTAACGGTGAAGGAATCAGTCTGCCTTTGCCACTCACATGTTTATTTAGTAAATGTTAGAATTAACAAAGATAAGTTCTCAAGAACTCCTTACACATAGAAGAACTTACAGTGGTGATTAACACTAGTTTTTTTTTTAATAACTGACTAGAAATGCAAGAAAGTAACCTGGTAGTTGGTGTTATTGCTTAAGCTCTTAGCTACAACAACTTTGTCTTTGTTGAACTTTATTAGTACTTTATGATTACATATTATATGTTGAATAATATGAAGTTGAATCTGATTTTCTCACATCAGTATGCTCTAGTAAAGATATTAGCTCTTTCCACATCCTGATGCATGATTTTCATAAAAATGTATGTATCTATATAGTCTCCTGTAAATGTTTTAGTACCTAAGTGTGCTATTGTGTAAAACTTGTTAATGTATTTGTATATTTCAGTGTTGTTTATACATTAGATTAGAAAGCACAATAAGTGAAGTCGCTCAGTCATGTCAGACTCTTTGAGACCCCATGGACTGACTGTGGCCTGCCAGGCTCCTCCATCCATGGGATTTTCCAGGCAAGAATACTGGAGTGGGTTGCCATTTTCTTCTCCAGGGGATCTTCCCAACCCAGGGATCAAACCTGGGTCTCCCTCACTGCAGGCAGACTCTTTACTATCTGAGCCAGCCCAATAAATTACACTAAAGTATGTTTGTTTTCAGATGCCTTCTCATAGTGTATCATATATTGGTTTTTATATTCCTCATAATTCTCATCTGTCAGTATAGGGAAACAGAAACTGAAGAATCACTGTTTATCATGGTCATGGTTTTCAGAGTGGCTCCTTTGAGAAGATTTTGACTGGTATTTTGAGATTTTGTAGCTGTAGGACGCACCGCCCGCCCTCCCCCCCCCCACCAGCTCAACCCTTTTCCTCCTTCCTTTCTTCCCTTTGGTCTTAGTCTTCCCAGTCTTCTTTGACCTCTGTCGTTATACTTGAGCCTGTAACATGCAAATGTTAGGAAAGCTGAGAAATCTAGGGAAGAGTCCAGACCAAGTCTGGCAGCCAAAAAGAAACAATATAGGAGGCTATGAAGAAACAAATTGATTGGCTTGAGCTCCTTTATGTGCAGCACTTGTGCCAGAAGTGGGAATCAGTTTCTCCAGTGACTTCTTGTATCTAAAATGTAATTTTTTCACCAGAGTTTAATGTGGAACCTTTGTAGAAAGACCCCTGCTTGTGTAATGTAATGATCTATAGCTAACTGTAGCACAGGAGTCAGATGTCTCTTAGTGGATAGCTAGAGAGGTGTTACTGTGCTCCATGGGAATGATTTGGTTATCTAGTGAAGGAAGAAGTAAATACTTAGTTACGTTGTACTACTTAGAAAGAATGGAGGGTAGAAAGTGAC